GCCTTTAAGAAGTATCTGCAAGAAACCTACTCAAAGCAGGTCTCCGGCCAAGATCCCTGACTGTCCAGCCTCTCTCCTTGTGTTGTCTTTTTATTTTCTCCTTAGACAGTCTGTCTTTTTCTTCATTTCTATCTAGGACTGTGTACCTTAAGCTGTGGTGTCATTTTTGTGTTGTTTTTGTTTTTTAAATTAAGTCTCTGGTTGAGCCCTTGTGATGAATATATTAAATAAATACATTGGGTTTTTTTTTACAAGTTGCCTTGTCGTTACCCCAGGAATGGGAGCACTCAGGGTCGGTGGAGTAGGATCCTGGCTCTCGCCCTACTCCTCTCCCCAAGGCCTGGAGGCAGCTGACAGGCTGAGCGGCTGGGCAAGGGGGTGATGAAGATTCCTTCCCTTGTGACCTTAGCTATTTTATGACTGCATCTGTCTCCTCTTCTAGAAGACGGTATTACAAAATGCCTTTCCATCTAGTTGTGATGTGCACTGGGAACAGCAGTGAATATTGGAGCTGTCCCAGCTGAGTTAGGAGGAGACTGAACCAGAACTTGAAGCGAAAGAGCTATAGCTGTAGAAGGAGTATATGTGCACAGCAGGGGCTTGGGAGGTAAGGACCAGCCACTGTGGTCTGACAGGGTGTTCTGGTCCTAAAATAGAGAAGAAAAGCACTCAGGTCACCCTACAGCAGGCCCAGGATCTGGGAGACCACCAGGGAACACCTCTTCCTGCCAGAGAGCCCAGGACAGCTTGACTCACCTCTTAGCCCAGCCCCCCCATCGATGGATGGCCCCACACTCCCAGGGAGTACATTCACCTCATCACCGGTGAGTCCTCCCAGCTGCTGTCCCCACTGGCCCAGGCCCCTGGCCCCGAGGCCCTCTTGACCCTGGCCTGCCACAGACCTCAGCATTGAGCCCCTGAGAGGAAACTCCTGTGCCAACCAGTTGGGGTCCCTGCAGGGCTAGGCAGGGGGAAAAGCAGGCTAGGATGATGGCCCTGGTCCAGGTCCCACAAGATGTCCAAGACGAACCAATAACAACAGCCAGGTGCCCTCCAACACTGCCTGTGTCTTGGCCTCACCCAACCTACCCAGCTCTGCCAGCAGCTGGTTGTGCAGGCCCAGGGGGAGGGGGAGGAGACAGTAGTGGAGGGCATCAGGAAGGTTCTCACCATCCTCCTGCTCCTGCCAGCCCAGGCTTCTTTCCTGCCCCCATGAGCAGCGGGGGAGGCAGGCAGGTGAGAAGTGGTATAAAATCCAGATGTGGATGTCCTCGGCCCGGGTCCTCTTACATGGAGCTGTTAGCTCTCCCCTATGGGTTTGGAGCAGGGCTGCCCAATCCAAGGTCCAGATAAATCTGCCAGGGGGCTACCTCAGATGCGACTTAGATTCAGTCAGTCTGGCTGGGGCCTGAGGTCCTGCGTTTCTCTCGAAGTTAAAGGTGTAGAGTGGTGCAGAGCGGTGCAGAGCGGTGTTCTCAAGGTGTGACCCTCCCACCTTTCACCTGGGACTTGGTAGAAATGCAGAGTCTTGGTCCCAACAAGCTCTCCAGGATCCTGATGCCCTCCCAACGTTGAAAAGCCCCGGCTAAAGGATGTCTAAGAACAGGGCCTGCCTTAGGACACCTCTCCATGTAGTCCTTGATCAAAGAGTTTGCCCCCTGCCCCCAGGATGGCCACATGGCCTGTCTCGTGTCAGCCCCAGGGGCTGACTGTAGTTCAGAACTCATCAGAGTGTTCCCTGGGATTAATTCCTGGGAGAAAGTAAAATTATTTTACTAATAGGGTTGCTAAAAAGAGGAGGGAGTCCGGCCAGTTGGAGCAGTCAGCTGCAGATGGAAGAAAGCCAAGCAGAGACAAGTAGCTAGGAGACACGGAGGTGACATTGAGATTGGCCTCCGGCTGGGATGCCTTAGCACCCCAGTTGCAAGAGCCAGTAAAGCCCTTTAAAGTCTGTTTGCTTTAGGTTTTAGCACTTGCAACAAAAAGAAGCCCAGTACAGGAAGTATTCGAAGGTATCATTGTTCCCATACACGCCCTACAATTACTGAGTATCTACAAAGTAAAAGCCCAAAGCAGGGAGAAGGACTAGGTCCTGTCTTCAGAGGCTAAGCTTGGGCAACGAGGGCGGGCAGACAGGGACGTGAGTGGGGTAGAGTAAGTGCCCTACAGAGGGGTGGTAAAGAGCTCTGACCCAGCAGTCTGCACACCACCCCCATGTTACTTGCACACACTTAGACTTAACCTCTCTGTAAAATGCAAATATTAGTAGCTACCTCAGAGGCTGGATGGGCCTTGGAATAGTGCCTGCCTTGTCAGGTAATAACGTCGGCTGTTAGACTCACATGTTACAAAAGCTCAGAGGTGGGGTACCTAATGCAGACCAGGGAGGTCAAGGAGGGCTGTCTGGAGAAGGAGATGGGGTATGAAGTTCAGGGGTATGGAATACTGGCAAAGTAGCATGGTAGTCAGGTCCCATAGGGCTTGTAAGGCCTTCCAATTAAAGGCCTGTAATTAAAATGCATGGGCTTTACCTTGAGGCAGCTAATGAAACCTTGAGTAGGCAGGGATGTGATCAGATTTGGTTTCAGAAGGCTGCTTCTGGGGGCGCCTGGGTGGCTCAGTGGGTTAAGCCGCTGCCTTCGGCTCAGGTCATGATCTCAGAGTCCTGGGATCAAGCCCCACATCGGGCTCTCTGCTCAGCAGGGAGCCTGCTTCCTCCTCTCTCTCTGCCTGCCTCTCTGCCTGCTTGTGATCGCTCTGTCAAATAAATAAATTTTAAAAAAAAAATCTTAAAAAAAAAAAAAAAGCTGCTTCTGGCTGCCACCTGGGGACTGAGTGGCAGGGAGATTAACTGCTGTTCTCAGCAACCTGGCGAACTGTGGCGGCAGCCCAAGTCACAACACCGAGTGGGCTCAGAGAGGAGGGAGAAAAGGGTAAGGGGATAGGAAGAAAGGAGCAGGGCAGAGTCAATTACAGGGGGCGAGGAGGCTCCGGAACTCCTGATTTGGACCCACCCCTCGGGGTGCCATCCCTGAGGTAAGTGAGTGCTGGGAGAACAGGATGGAAGGTGAGCGGGATTTCTCCGTGTAGGGCAGGACCAGTGCCAAGGACTCAGGACAGGCAGGCAGAACTGCCAACAGGTAGATGGGGCCACAGTTAAGAGCCTTGCTCTCGTTTCCACCAAATGTCGGCATGCCTGGCTACGTCGCCTCACTCTGCCTTCATGTCCTCTGCTGTGAAATGGGGAGAACAGCATCCGACTGCCTCAAGGGTTGTGTGGACGAATGAGACCTGCCTGAAAGGCATGGGGCCCAGCACACAGGAAGCAGTCCTAGTGATGACTGACCCCTGCGGAAGAAACACACTGGGGAACATGAATGGGTCAGAAAGGGGAGCCGAGAACACAAAGGACTTGCAGAGGGAGGACTGTGGTGATGAATAACAGGGCGGGCCAATGTTTCGAGGTGATAGTAGTGATATTAATAATAGCATTCAGATGGGCGCCTGGGTGGCTCAGTGGGTTAAGCCTCTGCCTCCGGCTCAGGTCATGATCTTAGGGTCCTGGGATCGAGTCCCGCATCGGACTCTCTGCTTGGCGGGGAGCCTGCTTCCTCCTCTCTCTCTGCCTGCCTCTCTGCCTGCTTGTGATCTCTCTCTGTCAAATAAATAAATAAAATCTTTAAAAATAATAATAATAATAATAGCATTAAGCACTTAGCATGTGCCACGCTCTGTTCTAAGCACTCTACACTGCACACACTAACTTGTTCTCACAACCCTGCAAGGTACATACTGTCCTCAAACCTATTTTACAGAATAGGAAATTGAACCACAGAGTGGTTTGTCACTAGCAATGAGAACTCAAACTCTAAAAGCACAGTCACCACTGCACTGCCTTAGCTTGGACCTGAAGCCTGCTCTGACTGAGTTGTGTGCAAAGAGCTCTGGAAGCCAGACAGAGCCCACTCAGCCAGTTGGGAGCAGGGATCAAGGGAGAAGAGGGTATCTGAGCTGGGTCTTGGTGTCTTTGAGATGGTATCTGAGCTGAGTTGAAAAATTTGCCAGGCTTGTTAGAGGAGGAAGGGCACCCCAAGGAAGGAGAAGAGCATGAGCAAAAACCCAAAGGCTTGAAAGTGCACCCTCACTGTCCAGAGCAGGAGCCACAAATTGCCCGGTGTGGCTGAAACCGGAGCGCGGAAGGAGAGGAAAGGAATTTGGACTTGATTCTAGAAGCAAAGGGGAGCCTTGAAGGTCTTTCAACAGGGGACCAGCGAGGTCAGATTCTTTTAGCTAGATCATGTTAATGTTGAGCTCATTGGCGGGAGCTAGAGGCAGGGATCCCGTGTGGAGATGATGACATCAGAAACGCCTTCCCGGCTGTGTGCCCCCACCCTCCTGTCCCATCTGCAGTATGGAGCACCTAGAAACACTCAGAAGAGACGAAGTATAAGTCACGCAGGAATGCATGCCGCCTGGAACGGATGGATACAGTGCTCAACTTTCCCATTCCCTGCGCGCAAGAACCAAAGGCTGCAGAAAGGAAGGACGGTGGGGGAGGAAAGGGGCCTCACCCCGGGCTCCTCCGAGTTCCAGCCAACTGCCATGCCCTCACCCTACCCGCCACCCCAGCACCCTCACCCGACAGTTCCAAGCCCCCGCCCCGGACCTCCCTCTTCCAGCGTCAGGCGCGTCGCGGCCCGGCAGGCCGAGCTGTCCACGTCCAGTTCCAGCCGCGGGGAAGCTACCCAGCTTGTCCGCGCAGCCCTGGGCTCCTGCGCCTCGGGGCGCCTCGCTGCTTGGCTTCCCCCTCTTCCGAGCCTCGGGTGGCGCCCCAGTCGGGCGGGCCCTGACACCTCCCCCAATCCCCCCACCCCCCACCCCGCTCCTCCTCTCACTCAGGCTACGCGCTTTGCAGTGTCTGCTTTTATTCCCTCAGGACGCGGAGCCAGCAGGGGCCGCGCCTCCCTCCCGGGGCTGGGCGGAGAGCGGGACCCGGCGGAGGGCGGGAGGTGACAGCGCCCTCGCCCGAGGGACGCGCGGTCTGGGCGGAGGCGAGGGCGACTTTTACTGCACGCCTTCCATCATCTTCAGGAACTCTGCGGGGAAGGAGAGGAGAAGCATAAATCGCACGAAACCGCCGAGAGCTCTCCACCCCGCCCACGAAGCCGCGGACAGCCCCGTGCGTGGGGGCCACGCCCCGGGCGTTCCGCCAGGCTCCGCCCCCCGCCGCGCCCCCGCGGCCCTCACCGTCGAAGTCAATGCGGCCATCGTTGTTCTTGTCTCCGTCTTTCATGAGGGATTCGATCTCCTCGTCTGTCACGTGCTCCCCAGAGGCCCTGAAAATCTCAGCCAGCTCCTCCGCATCGATGTAGCCGTCCGCGTTCCTGGGGGGCGAAGGGACAGGGTGGGACTCAGGGCAGGCAGGGGCGAGTAGCCCTGGCCCCGGCGACGCCCCCTCCCTCCCCGCCCCGCGGAGAAGTGAAGCGCGGTGTGGCCGGGCCCCCGGCGCACCTGTCAAAGATGCGGAAACACTCGGCCAGCTCCTCCTCGCTCTTCCCCTTCGCATCCTCTTTCATCTGGCGCACCATCATGACCAAGAACTCCTCGAAGTCGATGGTGCCGCTGCCTGGGGGGAGCAGGTGGCGGATGAGCCTCACCCCTGCATCCCCACCTCTCCCGCCACCGTCTCAGCCCCGCCTCGGAGAACCACCTGCTCACCGTCCTCGTCCACCTCCTCGATGATGGCGTCCAGCTCCTCTTTGGTGGGTGTCTGGCCCAGCATCCTCATCACCGTGCCCAACTCCTTGACGCTGATGTCCCCGCCACCATCAGCGTCAAACATGTCGAAGGCAGCCTTGAACTCTGAAAGAGGCAGAGGACTGCGGTGGGGCCGGCTGGACTGTCAGCCTCACACCTTCCGTCCCCTGCCGGACACCAAACCTTGCCCAGCACACCTCCACGCGGCAGCCAGCCCTCCCACCCGCACCCCTGCACTCACCAGCGATCATCTCCTCGCTGAGGTAGGACCGGGCCTCCGCCTGCTGGTCCGTCTGCAGAAGACACAGAGTGAGAGAGTGGAAGGGGCGGCCCCAGAGCTCATTCTTGCCTTAACCCCATTCTCTTCAACCCCCTTCTGTCACTGTGCTTTGGTCTTCCAGAAAAATGATTCCAAACCAGCACCACATTTTGCATGCTCCCACAGCTACCTGACCCCCGTTTTGAAGAACTAGGGAGGAAACACAGCTTATGCCCAAGGTATTCAACCTTGCTAATCAGATGTCAAGTCAGGAATCCCCCCCACTAACCTCGGGCAAGTCATTTATTCTACCCTCTCTCTTCTCAGCAGCTTTTCAGGGATGAGGTGACATCTGGGATGTGAAAGGGTTTTGGACAGTGCCAACACGATTCCAGTGTCCTCTCCCAGTTTTCCCTAGCTCTCAGCAGGGCCTGGCTCTGTAATAGGGGCTCAATACATGTTTGTTCTCAAATAAATAATAATGCAAGGCAAAGTCATTGAGCACTGGTTAGGTGTCAGGCCAGAGACTGGGCCCTGGGACCAAGAAGACTCAGACGCATCATCCCTCCCCTCCGAGAACTTGTGGAGATGGAGATTTTAATTTTCTTTCTTATCATTGAGCCATTGGAGTAAATACTACTGGTGCTGGGGAGAATATGATGGGGGCCTTGTGGAGGTGAAAATAAGATTTGAGGGGAGGGTTCTGGCCACATCCAACCCAAGCCATCCAGCTATGGGGCTTTGAACTGAGGCTGGTTGGGGGAGGGCTGAGGTGGCCAGGGCGTTCTGCCGGCTGGCTACTACCCTCTTCCTTGCCCTCACCTCCTCCCTCCTCCTTGCCCACACAAGAGGATGGGCTATTTTTAGCCTGGCATGGGCAACAGCAGCTGTCCTCCAGGGTCTAGTTACCCCTTGAAGTGAAGTGGGGAGGGGGACCTCAGGGGAATTGATAGCCCCAGATTAGGAATCCTCTCTGGGAGGCGGAGGTCTCTCTAACCTTGGTCTATCATCTTCTGCCCCTTCTCCGCACCCTCGGAGCTCTTGGGATCCTGCACCTTAGCTGGCTTGAGACCCTGCAGAGCCCCCCCCCCTTCTTCCAGAGGAGTCTTCAGGAGAGTTTGGCAAGGCTTCTAGCCCACCCCTGCTGCTGGCTTGCTGGGTGACTCACTATGGCCCTCAGGGTACCCCCCCCCCATCATGAGGGAGACAAGCAAGTAACCCCTCATGGCTCCATGACCAACACAGCCGGAGCCTCAGGTCTGCAGGGAGTCAGCAATCACTGGAACACCCCAATCCCCCCCACCCCTGGGGAAGTCCAAGGCCTTCTTCCCAGACTTCCTCCTAGACATCTGGGCTCCAGGAGCCTTCATGTTCCATCTTCAAATGTCCAATTACTAAACTACAGAACACCCAGATCTGGCCTGGAAGAGGTCCAGAAGTGTTTCAGCAAGCAAAGGGATGAAGTCCCTTCTTGTCCTTACCATGGTTGCTAGTCCCAGGGCCTCCTCCTCTGCTGCAGGTCACCTCCTCAGCACTCCACCACCCGAAGATGCCCTGGCCTGCTCCAGCCCCTCGGATTTGTAGGGGCACCCTCTCCTCCCACCTCCCTGCTCCCCAGGACTAGTTGTCCTAGCCAATCAGATCCTGGGGTCAGCGAGCGCCTCCTCCCCCCACTGCATCCCAGAGTCCTAGCCCATTACCTAATTTAGCCAAGGGCCCTTGCAGAGAAATTTAAGCCTCTGAGCAGGTGGCAGGCCTTGATGTCCTAGATTCTTGGGAGGAGAACCCGCCCTGCTCCACTGCCTTAGGGAGCCCCTGCTCAAGAAACACGGTGGCTCCAAGATGGGTAAAGGACAATCAGAATGGAGAAAAGTGAAGCACACAGCAGACAGGGAAGAGGACAAGCCTGTGAAGTCTGAAACCCAAGATCCCGGTCCTGTCGCTGCTACCTGTGCACTCTTAGGCAGGCGACCTGCCACTCTGAGCTTCAGTTTCCTTCTCTGGGAGGTGGAGATGGGGACATTCGTGACCTCCCTCACAGACAGACCATGGGAAATGAAGCCCAGCTCTAAGTCACCTAGCTTGTGCCGGCTCCATAGGGTTGGTGCTTGGCAAGTGGAACGGCCGATCTGTCTGAACCGTGGTAGAGGGCCGGGGAGGGGAGGAGGAGAAGGTGACAGCCGCAGTCATTGAACCTCTAGGAAGAGCCACATACTATGCTAAGCATTTTAACCATGTGATCTCACCTAGATCACCCCTATCCCATGAGGGAAAAGCTATTATTCCCTTTTTACTAGGGGCTTTGTAAATCATAAAGGTCTCAAGTCATATCAGTGATTCTTATTAATCCTGAAGGGAGGGGCACCTGGGTGGTTCAGTTGGTTGAGCGTCTGCCTTCGGCTCAGGTCATGATCCCACGGTCCTGGGATCGAGTCCCACGTCAGCCAAGAGCCTGCTTCTCCCTCTATCTCTGCCTCCTGCTCTGCCTACTTGTGCTCTCTCTCTCTCTCTGTCAAATAAAGAAATAAAATCTAAAAAAAAAGAAAAAAGTCCTGAAGGGAAGTTGGGACAGCCCTTGAGGGGAACTGTCCAAACGAGAAATCTAGGGAGGGGTCCAGGAGATGGGTATGCAGTCGGAGGAGAAATAAATGTTGAAAGCAGATCTTTCTCTCAAGTTTACCTTCTCCAGGGAAAAGGTGTTTGAGATTCCTTTTTTTTTTTTTTTTTTTTTTGAGGGCAAGGGAGACTAGGTAGGGGCAAGCTCTCCAGGTGAGTAAAGGGGCAGCCGGCCCCTTCTTAGAGCTCAGTGAAGAAGTCCCGAGCCCCTCAGCTGTCCATCTGGAGAGTGAAGGGATGGGCAGGGCAAGTCCAGGCTGAAGGGAGCCCATCCTCCAAACCCACAGGGTCCAGACTGGGTGTTGGAGAGGTAGGCGATGCTGTGGACAGTGGCTAAGCCAACAGAAAGAGCACAAAGACAGCTGAGTGCACAGCCTGGGGCCAGTGAGAGGAGGCTGAATTCCAAGGAAGGCAGACGGACGGAGGCAGCTGGGCCGCCATCTTCCTCTATTTATAGGCATTCCCAAGAAAAGCTCAGTGGAGCTAGGCCAGACTACATAAGGCCTCCCCTGGCCGGGCAGAAAACCAAGGGGGCAGTGACACCAGGGGAGTCCAATTTGGATGTGAGCCCTGGAGCCACTAATGATTCCTTTGAAGCAGGGAGTTTGGAACCCTCAGCAATCATTTGTTCATTAAATTGTTCTTTCATTTATTCAGGAAAATAGATAAGGTGCAAATTTACCTATTCACTCTAACTCCTCCAATCTCCATCCCCTTCCCTCCCCATCCTGCATGCTGCTGTGCTCTGGTCAGACTAAAACGCAGCTCCAAACAATGCCCTGTGTAGCCTCCGGGTCTTTGCACATGCTGCTTGTTTCTGCCAGAACTCCCATCGTCTTTCTGTTCACCTGCCCACTTCCCTGTCAACTTTCTCAGCTTTAACATCACTTCCTTGTGACACATGGGTCATTCAGACAGTAGAGTATGCAACTTTTTTTTTTTAAGATTTTATTTGTTTGACAGAGAGAGAGCAAGAAAGGGAACACAGCAAGGGGAGTGGGAGAGGGAGAAGCAGGCTTCCCAGTGAGCAGGGAGCCCAATGCGGGGCTCGATCCCAGGACCCTGGGATCATGGTCTGAGCCGAAGCCAGACGCTTAGCCACTGAGCCTCCTGGGTGCCTCAGCACACAACACTTGATCTTGGTGTCATGGGTATATATGTATATATTTTTTAACTTATTTACTTATATTTATATGAATATGTATTTAAATATATATCTATATTTATATAAATATTTAATTCACATATATGTGTATATATACACATATATGTATATATTTCAATATAGTTAAATATATAAAATATCTATAATTTATACATAAATATATAACATATAATGTATATATAAAATATATAATTTATATATATAAATATACATTTAAAGGGGCGCCTGGCTGGCTCAGTCAGTGGCCCATATGACTCTTGATCTCCAGGTCCTAAGTTTGAGCCCCACATTGGGTGTAGAGATTACTTGAAAAAAAAATACAAATAAAAAATAACATCACTTCCTTTGAGATCCCTCCTCCCCTACTAAGGCCAAGGGAGTCCAAGGCAGTCTCCAGAAGTTTCTTCAATCACGGCCCTGAGCATGCCACATGACATGCCTGCTCTAAGTTCCATGGACCAAAGACTGTTACTATTCATCACTGCGTTCCCCAGCACGCAGCACTTAGCACACACTCAATAAGTATCATGTTCTTTATACGAATAACTGGATGGAGGGGCATCTGGTTAAGAGGAGGAAATTCCTAACCGTCGGAATAATCATGGGAACGGGAAGCCTCCAGAGAGAATGAGCTTCCTGTTACTGAATGTATACAACCAGGAATTTAATGACCATCTCTCAGGGCAGCTGTCGGGAGATACTATACAGAATCCAAGGAGGGGCACCTGGGTGGCTCAGTGGGTTAAAGCCTCTGCCTTTGGCTCAGGTCATGATCCCAGGGTCCTGGGATCGAGCCCCACATAAGGCTCTCTGCTCAGCAGGGAACCTGCTTCCTCCTCTCTCTCTGCCTGCTTCACTGTGATCTCTGTCTGTCAAATAAATAAATAAAATCTTAAAAAAAAAAAAAAAAGAATCCAAGGAGAGTGGAGAATACAAGACTTCAGGAAACCTAGTTCTCATCCTATTTGTAAGACCAAGGTAGGTACCTTCCCCTTCTGTAAAATACAGGTACCAGACCAGATTTCTAACGGCCCATGGTATGAGCACCTGCTTTGTACCCAGACTTGAGAGACATAGACCCAAACACAAGTTAATATTGTTTGGTGTTCAGTGAATGAGTGAGTGTTGAATGAATTAAGGAATGAAGTGTGTCCTTTTTTGCCCCCACACCCTACTGCTAAGCTGAATGAAGAGTAGCGTGGACTTTGGGCATAGGTCCCAGCTCCTCTATTTCCTAGCACTGGATTTTGGGAAAGTCAGTTTGCCTCCTCATCCTGAAAATGGGCCATTATTATCTGGTAACAGCCCCCTTCCCCAAGATGTGAGTGTGAGCTGTGTGTGGCCCCACAGAAAACGCCTATAACAGGATGTAGGTCATGGTGGAACCTTTGTGCATAGCAGAGCAGGGAGTGTGTTTCCCATTCAGAGCTACTTCCCCCACCCCTCCTGGGCCGTTCAAAAAGGGTAGGAAGGATTGTCAGAGAGATCTTATTTGCTCAATTGGAGGACAGCAAGGCCTTTTGACGGGAAGTGGCAATAAATTCTTCCTGACCCACTGCTGCCCTCCGGGTAAAAGATAAAACACAGCCAACCTTTTCAGAGGAGCTGCTGAGATTGCCAGGCCTTCTGTGTGGGAAAAGAACAGAATGAGGAACTCAGGAGAGGTAGGCTGCAAGGTCCCACACTCAGAAACCACTGGCAAGCTGTGTGACTTTGGGCAAGTAAGCCTGCCTTTCTGGATCTCACTTCCTCGTCTGCTAACTTCTTATGTGCGAGGCTCCAGTGAGATTGCAAAGAACCTGTGAGCACTGGAGGAACAACGATAACTATGTAACTGATCAATTTGTCAGCCTCTGCTCGCGCCAGGCACTGGATCAAGGTCCTTACAAGGACTGCAAAATTAGTACTAGTATTACTTGAACCTAGGCTCCAGGGTTGACGTCAGATTCCAACTCAGATAATAGGTCTTCCTTGGCCTCAATTTTTTCACCAGCTAGATGGGCTTTCCACTGTGGCGTGACTTTTGAAAGTTAGAGTATGGCTGGAGACTGTGACAGGATAGAGTGGGGGCAGCCGGGACAAACTGGGTCTTCGGGACGGGTGGGAGGATTCGCGGAGGGTGCGAGCCCCTGCGGATTGGGTACGATCCCGCAGAAGGCTGGGGCTCGCCCAGGCCTACCCAGGATTCCCAAGTCCCTCCCGGAGCGGAGTGCCCGGGATTCCCGGGAGGCTCCGGGGAGCGGGCGGGGCCGGGGGCGGGGCGGCGGCAGGAAGCGGCCCGAACGTTGCTGTGAGCGGCCTGGGCCCGGCAAAGCCGGGCCGGCCTCGGTAAGCTGCTGGAGCTGCACCCCGGACCCCGGGGGATCGCGCGCCCCTGAGCACACCGCGGGGCGCGGGAGAGACGCGCCAGCAGGCGAAAGAGACGAGAGGGGTGTCCGGGCCTATCCCGGGAAGAGCGCGGCCCTAGGCTACGGCGGAGGGAGGGTGCGACGCCAAGCAACGCCCGGGCCTCGTAGGACCCCCAACGGGCTGGGGCGGGGCCTCCGCGGCGCCCCTCCCTCCGCCAGCTGGGCCCCGCCCCTCCTCCCAGCGCGGGGCCCAGGGTCTCCCTCCCGCCCACGCCCAGGCCCCAGTGTTGGGCTCCCCCCAGGGTGCCATGGCTTCGCGGCTCCTGCACCGGCTGCGGCACGCCCTGGCCGGCGACAACCCGGGGGAGGCGGCGACCGGTCCGGAGGCCGAGCAGTTCCCGGAGAGCTCGGAGCTGGAGGATGACGACGCCGAGGGCCTGTCCTCCCGCCTCAGCGGCACCCTCAGCTTCACCAGCGCCGAGGACGAAGAGGAGGAGGACGACGAGGACGACGGAGAGGTTGGCCCCGACCCGCTGCCCTCCGGGGACGGGGCGTCGGGAGAAGATGCAGGCGAGTTGCCGAAGACCGAGGCGGGAACCCTGGGGCTCGGTTAGGCCTCCACCCCAGCCCTGTTCCCCAGCCGTTTCTTGGCTGTGTGACCTTGAGAGAGTCACAACACCTCTCTGAGCCAAGTTTTCCCTTGTGTCAAATGAGGGAAATCATTCCCATCTCGGGGTTGCTGGGGGCATTAAATGTACAGCGTCTGGGATACAAATCGTAATAATGTGCTAGTGATGTTTTGGGGTGAAAATATTTAGAGCCCACTGTCCGCCAGGCATGGTGTTTGGCACCAGGTCCCTCTCTGGCCCTCAGTTTCCATTATGTCAGATGGAAATAAAGCCTGTCTCACCTGTTGGGAGTATGAGTAAGGTCACCACACGTGGTTTATGTGGCCCTCAGCCCCAGGCCCACTGATGTGACTGGCCGTGTGCCCTTGCAGATGGGAGCTCTCCACCTGATGGGCAGCGGGGCAGTCAGCCACTGGCAAGGCAGTTGCAGGATTTCTGGAAGAAGTCCCGGAACACCCTGGTGCCCCAGCGGCTGCTCTTCGAGGTGACCAGCGCCAATGTGGTCAAGGACCCACCCTCCAAGTACGTGGTGAGTGAAGGTCCAGGAAGCCCTGGGCTGTGAGTCTGAAAGTCTGGCTAAGAGAAAGTAGGGAAGACTCCCAACTTCCCAACTTGATAAATGGTCAATCTATTTTAGGAATGGGGAAACTGAGGTCAGAAAGGGGATGTAATGTGATCAAGTCCTTGGGCAGATGACTTAGCTTTCTGAGGGATTATGGATCTGCCTCCCCATCCTGGTTTTGAGACTAAGAGAACTGCCGTGTGGGCTCCCCTTCCCCCAGGTTTTGCAAACTGTAGCAAAATACAAGATACACAAGAAAGAATATTATCTGGGTCAGACCTGAGACCCAAGTTGCATTGGTTAGTAGTTAAAAAAAAAAAAAAATGGGTTTTGAATCCAGACTTTGATTCAGACCCCAATTATCAGCTGTTTAAAGTTGGGTGAGTTGTGTAACTTTGATGACCCTATTTCCTCATCTGAGGAGTGGGAATAATGCAGAGGATTGTTGAAGAAATTAAATGAGTGCACAGAGAGCCCTTAGCACTGTGCCTGGCATTATGAAGAACTTGATAAAATGGTAACTATTATTATGACTTAACTTTGGCTTGAAAATGTCTGGCGTCTAGGGCCTTATACCCCAGGTCAATCAATCCCTGGGCACCCACACTGTACACAATAATCTTGTTCTGAGGGTTAGATTTAGGAGTAAATGGTGTTGAGATGAAGAGCAAGGGGAAGGCCTTGGAGTCTGGTTTTGCCTGTGGAAAGGAGAAACTGACATGGGAGAATGAGGTCTGCCGGGTCCTGAAACCCAGCCTGACCTGGCCAGTCCTGGCAGACTCAGACTTCCCTCATCTTCACCACCCTCCTCCGTTTCTGACTCAGCAGGCAAAGGGCCTGGAGCACTGTCCCACATCTGGGCCTCTTCATTCCTTTCTGCGCTGTGAGTAAACAAAGGCCACGCCTATGGGGTGACTGCTCCAATTTGAGCAGGGATCCACTCTGATGATCTAGTCTTAAGTGGCGAAAGTCCCAGCTAGGCCTCATGCACTGGGAAAGGGACCCTCAGGAACAGCCAGGCAGCAGGGAAGTACTGGGTGATTCTAGGAAGAGAATGACAAGATAGAGCAGTATAGCCGGATATGCTCTGGCCCATGTCTGGAGAGACAAGTCCCCTCCTCTGTTCCTGGGGTGGGGTTGAAAGCCGGGGCTCTGGAATGAGGCGGGCCTGGGTTTGAATCCCAGCAGGACCATTTACCAGCTATGTGACTTAGGGGAAGTCTTGGAGCCCTTTGTCTGTCTTGTAGCCTGCTTCCTCAGCTGTCAGAGTCAGGGGCTCCCTCCTTGCTGTGCTCCATAGTAAAGTGCCCAGCACAGCACATCGTGGCACGGGCTGGTGCTCAGTTAATGGAGCTACTGTCATTCTTACCCCTCTTGGCAGGACATTACAAAGGTCAGATGAAATAATGGATATAAAATGTTTCCTTTTTGCCAAAAATTTAAAGTAAAAGCTACATGAATATAGGGGGTCATTTTAGACAATGCTTCCTGAAGTGTATTTTGAAGGAAACTGGTTTCTTGGAATGTTGATAACTGTTCCTTTAAAAAAAAAAAAAAAAGTTTTTGCAGCCAGTGTTTTTTGGGAATGCAGAACTGAGCGGGAGTAAAATAAACTTCTTTAAGGTAAAATCTTTTAATCCTTAGTATTAATGTCCACTGAATCTTGAAGAGAAGTATAAGATAGACCAGAGGTGGCTAGAATATTGGCAATTTCACAGAACAAATTCGAGAGAAAAGTCCGGGTTTGGTGTTAGTGTGCCTTCAACATCTCATGCTTAACAAATCCCACTTTTCAAACCTGGTGGGTCAGCGTTATTACAGATTAATCTGTATGCGGATCCTCAGGCCCCAGGACAGCTTCATGGTCATCTTGATCAGCGTTTCTCAAACATCACTCATTCCAGGACCACCTTCATGATTCTCGTCCTAGCTAAATGCTACTGTACCATTCCTTGCTTAACATTTTTAAGTAAACCTACTTTTTTTTCGTAAATAAGTTCAAAAGACTTCAAAGCACTACTATATGTGGAAAGCCTTGTTTGCCATAAAGACAACCATAAAAATTAATGAATTAAATACAATAAAAGCAGTGAAAATGAAACCGTGTCATTAAAACCCTGCAAGAGTCCTGTTGCCTGAAGGCCCAGACCTTTGCTTTCTGGGTCTTTTCTGAAAGGGGAGATGAGAAGTGTTGGAGAGGTGCGTTTCAAAAAACCAAGCTGAGAGCTTCTCAGCCTGTAGACAGGATTCAAGGAGTACTCGGCAAGGGGCGGGGGGGCCACCTCCTGTCTCCACTTCAGTGTTATTTACTCCAGTACCAACCACCTGGAATCTCAGGCCCGATATTTACTTATCCGCATCCCACACGTGAGGGGACACTGACCTAGGTCACCGCTTCGCTCACTAGAGAGGAAAGCAAGACCCAAGGGGGGACTGCCTTGCTTGACGACACACTGCAAGGGAGTAGCTGACTGGGGGTGTGCCCCGATGCCCTCTTCACAATGATCGCTCCTTGGTCTATCTGAAGACCTGTCCTCCAGGTCTGCTTTGGAATAACCTGGCTAAGGATGTGGGGGCTCTGTTTCCAGAGTGGAACAAAGTCCAAGCTGGTCTTGAAGGTTGCTTCAGTGGCCCAAGAGATTGGCCTGGGCTTCAGCTCCCAGCTGGTTTACCAGAGGGACTGTCTGAAGAGCTAACTGCCCTATGGGAAGGGAGTGCTCCCTGAAAGGGCAAAAGGGGTGGCAGGTCTAGGCACTGAAGCTCATCTCTGTCTTTCTTTCCCCGTGCTGCCTTGGGCCTGGGTCATTTCAGACGAGCCTCAGGTAAGAGGGGACTGGGCTCCCTGGCTGCCGCCCCAGCAGCTCCCACCCTCCTGGGCCCAGTCTCAGGGGCCAAGGGAAGAAGTGGGGGAATGCAGCTTGAGGTGTGGGTATGGGGAGTGAAGGGGCGCGCGGACAACTCACACCTGCGCTGACCCCACCCTCCCTGCAGCTCTACACCCTCGCCGTGATGGGTCCAGGGCCACCCGATCGCCAGCCAGCCCAGATCTCTCGCCGCTACTCGGACTTTGAGCGGCTGCATCGAAACCTGCAGCGACAGTTCCGGGGCCCCATGGCTGCCATCTCATTCCCCCGGAAGCGCCTGCGCCGGAATTTTACCGCAGAGACCATCGCCCGCCGGAGCCGGGCCTTCGAGCAGTTTCTGAGCCACCTGCAGGCAGTGCCTGAGCTGCGCCGTGCCCCGGACCTGCAGGACTTCTTTGTGCTGCCCGAGCTGCGGCGGGCGCAGAGCCTCACCTGCACTGGCCTCTATCATGAGGCTCTGGCGCTCTGGGCCAATGCCTGGCAGCTACAGACCCAGCTAGGCACCCCCTTGGGCCCAGACCGCCCACTGCTGACCCTGGCTGGGCTGGCTGTGTGCCACCAGGAGCTGGAGAACCCTGGGGAGGCCCGGGCGTGTTGTGAGAGGGCCTTGCAACTGCTGGGGGACAAGAACCCCCACCCTCTGCTGGCACCCTTTCTGGAAGCCCACGTCCGGCTCTCCTGGCGCCTGGGCCTGGACAAACGCCAAACAGAGGCCCGACTCCAGGCCCTGCAGGAGGCAGGCCTGACCCCCACGCCACCCCCCAGTCTCAAAGAATTGCTTATCAAGGAGGAACTGGACTGACTTTGCCTAGAGTTAAGGCCACTGTGGGGACAGGCACCACCCCAGGATGGGGGGTGGGCAAGGAGGGCATGAATAGCAATTGGGAAGCTGTAGGGGGTGCTGGGAACCCCTAGAAGTCCTACAAGTAATTTGTAGCAAACCAAGGACATTCCTTCTGTCGAGCTGGGTTTAGGACAAGCTTCGGCCGGGTTTGCCCTGGGGTGGCATAGGGAGGAAGTCTGATGCAGCCTCTCCAGCTCATGAATGTCTGGGGACTGTGCCCCAGGGTAGGTCAATGTTACCTCTTCCTTGGCCCAAGGGCTAGGGACTCTTCCTCGGGAGTCCTGGAGTAGGGCTGCCGTCTGGCCCAGGGGAATTAAAGGCCAGCAGCTCCAGTGGTATTAGTCTCTTTATTGGGTTTGGGGATAGAAGGTCCAGCCCTTGACTGCAAGGTGTTGGGAGGAGAAGGGTGACCCTTGAAGCCCCAGGCCAAGCTGGTCCCTCTGGCTACAGCTTGCTCTCTGAGTCCCAGGGCTTCACTCGGATCACGCCCTCCTGGGCACAGGACACAGCAAGGACACCATCCCGACGCCATAGCCGCCCTTGGACCAGCCCCCGGGAGCCACCTGTGGGTGAGGGGAGGGGTGATAATGGCCTTCTCTCTCCTTCAGAGCCTGGCCAGACAAAGCTTCTTGGAAAGTGTGCAGCTGCTCTGGCTGCCCCGTCCAAGGGCACGTCGAGTGTTGTGGCCTCTCCCAGTCTCTAAGTGCCCCTTTATGAGCCTATTGGGAATGGTCCCCGGGGGTAACTCCTAAGGGAACCCCCCTTGACAGTTTGAAAGCACTTTCACATATCCAGTGGCTTCCTCAAAAAGCTCACAGGGGGAAGAGTTCTGAGGGCAGTCTCAGGTCAGCAGCTTGGCTAAGTAGATCCGTCCCCACTCTGGCTACTTAGGGTAGGAAACCCAGCAGTTCCCTTTCTAATGAATCAAACTGGGTGCTCCAGGGTGGTAATTCACAAAACAAACAAATAAAAACCCATCCTCACCCCTATCAGGAAAAAGGGCGTGTGGGGAGGACCTGGGGCCATCACATCTGGCCACCCTCCCAGCCTGAACACTCCTTGCTAGCAGTGGGCCTGAGTGGAAGGTTCCAGAGGGAGCTGCTGGTCTCCCTTACACAGAGTAGAGCTCACTTAGTTCTCATAATGGCCAAGTGAAGCAGGCCCATTTTCCAAATGAAGACACCGAAGTCCAGGGAGCCTCTGGCCCTCGGCCATAAGAAGCAGGCCAAACCCGAAGCCAGGTGTTCTAACCACAGGGTTGCTAATCTTGTGTTGCAACACTCTTGGTGCTGGAGACTCCCCCTTCCCTGAAGAGAGATTCCCTTCAGTTCTGTCCCTGTTTTACAGAGCAAGGCTTTTCTTCATCTGAAGTATACTTGCCTGGAAAAGAACCCAGGGCTCTGAGACTAGACACTGATGAAGTCTGGGCTTCTCTGCACACCATGAGTATCCTAAGTAGCGGAGCCCTTAGAGACTATGGAGGGCCCTGACCCCCAGTCAGGTTGGTTAATCCACACTATTGCTCAAGGGAGCTGCTTAAAAATTAGTTTCCTGGATTTCATCCAAGACCTGCTGAGTCAGAATCTTGGGAATGGAACCTGAGTATCTGTTTTGGAAAGGCTCCCCCAACTGGCTGGCTAACGTGCCACCACGTTCAGATACCATTGCTCTATGTGACCCTATTTGTTTAGGAGGAGAAACTGAGGCTCAGAGAGGAGCTGGGACTGGTCCAGGATCACACAGAGAATCTGCAGTGCTTCTGGGCCTAGAACTGGGTCTCTGATACTCCCTGCAGGCTACAGAAATTAAGCTTAGCAGGTGTCCCCTCTCGAGCCGCATGCTGTCATTTTGAAGACAACAATGCCAGAGACTAGGGGGCCAGGAGAGGAAGCGAGGGGTGGTGCCCCACAGGATCGCCTGAGAAAGCAGGCTTCCTGCCCCACCCCGCCCTCCCCGCGCCCCCCTCCCGTCAGCCCCCTTGTCCCCCATGGCCCCGTACTCACCAGCCCAGGGGCTCTCACACTCATAGAGCATCCAGTGGTCCGCTCGGAAGGGGGTGTGGAACCACATGGAGTGGTCCAAGGAGACCATGAAGCGCACCTTGTGCCGCCACTGGTGGGGCAGCATGGCCGTGCCCAGGAAGGCATAGTCCGAGATGTAGGCGGCCACACAGCAGTGCATCTTCATGTCGCCCTCCCCTGCAACGCGTGCGGGCCCGTCAGCCCCAGGCTCCTGGGCTTTACAGCTCAGGACCTGTGGGGAGGCAGGCAGAGAGGGGCTGCCGTGCACAGATGTGTAGAGTGTTTGCTGCATGAGGGTGCTTGGCCTGAGGAGTGTGTGTGTGTGTGTGTGTGTGTGTGCGCGCGCGCATGTGCCATCTGACAAAGGAGGTAGGGATGGGCAGAGGGCAGCGCTAAGTGAGGACTGAAATCCAGTCTTCGCTCCTTAAGTCTCCCACAATAAGCCTTCCAAGGGAGTGTCTTCTTCCAGCCTGCACAGAGGCCATATGGTTAGCAGGGGTCCTAGAGGGGTCCTGGTCTTCCCCAGAAAGGGTCTCCGTGAGGATTATTATAGTCCCATCCCCTTTATCCCCATGCAGGCAGCAGAGAGGGTCCTGGTGAGAAGCTACTTCCCCATCACACCAACAAGGAAACAGGCCCAGAGAGGGGAAGTAACACGCCCCGTGCCACAAAGAGCACGCCTAGCCCCAGTCCTCGGGGTCCTCTTACCAATATGGCCCCGGGCTCGCACCCAGAACATCTGTTTGGGCTCCATGCTCTGCAGCTGATTCAGGGCAGGTGGCTTTACCGGCCTGATTTCAATGGGGACCTCCTTAGCAGCAATTCGGTTCAGTCCCACTCGGTACTTCTCTTGGAGCCTGGAATCCCTGAAAGCAAAGGGGAAACGGAGAACCTCTCTGAGCTGCCTCTGTGACCCCCTCTTTCCTCCACAGGGACTCCTGACTTTTCCCCACAGCTCCCCTCCCGTCTGACAGGCAGGAGAGCACAGTGTCTGACTCCTTTCTCTGCCACTTAGGCGCCCTGTGGTCTGTGCCAGCTTCTCTTCCCATCTGCAAAATGGAGCCGGTGACGGCCACCTACCTCCTCTAACACTTGAGAGTGGCAAGGCGGACCCTACCACAGGCATGCTTCTAAGCACACATGACCTCGTCACAACAACCCTGTGACACAGTGCTGTCATCACCCCCATGGGAGAACTGACCTGAAATAAGCACCGGGAGTTCCAGGAGCTTGCTCAGGCAATGGAGAAGGCAGCATGTGGACCCAGGTAGTCTAGCTCCATGTTTCAGGCTTTGACCCACATGGCTATTCTCCACTTTCAGGAAGCAGGCTGAGCAACTCAGACCGACCAACCGAACCCTAAGCAATTGGGAAGACCGCGTTCCCAGTGTGTGGGGGAGGGTGGGCGCCCATCTCCAGGGAAGTCCCTCCGCCCTGAGCGCTCTTCACTGGGGTTTCCATTTTCAGCCCGCCCTTCTAGGGCACGGTCCCACAGACCTTACATGATGGTGGGACATTCTGTACCTATACTTCCCACTAGGAAGTCGGTAGCCACATGAGGCTACTGAGTGCTTGGGGTGTGGTAGTGCGACAACAGAATTGTTCATTCTATTTAATGTTACGTTAATACAGCCCCATGTGGTAGTGACTTCCTAGCTGGACATCATAGCTCTAGAATCAGGGACCTCTAAGAACAATGTCCTCCTTTCATTTCAGTGAACATCTGGGGGCGCTGACAGCAGACCAGGCCCTATGCGCACTCCTCTGTGGGCAGCGCTAAAACTACAATCCACTGAGCTTTCACGGAGTTACTTACCATCTCTTACCTCACTTAATCCTCATAGCAGCTTTGTGAGGTAGGAATCATGATTAGTACCTTGGTGCCTGTGAGCAGAGGCTCAGAGTGGGAAAGCAACTTGCCCAAACTCACACAGCTAGCAGAAACAAGGGTCTGCATTTGAATCTGGGCCTTTACCAAAAGATCATACCCATTCTATCCCATCGGTGCTCTGCTGCCTTCCCAGCAGGCAGCACGGGCCAGGGGAGGTCTCCTCGGGATGCAGCTGTGAAGTAGGCAGAACAGACATGACCATTCCCGATTTTTAGGAAAAGCAGGACTCTGAGAGGCAGGCTGGAGAGCCAGGCAAAGTCACACAGCAGGGGAACACTAACAGAGGCACAGACCCGGCCAGAGTTCATGTGTCCGTCCTGTGTCAGGACCCAGAGCTCTCTCCCCTGCCCCACAATGTTCCCAACTTTATTGGCTGTGATCCAAGAGAGAAAGGTATTTCACCAGGTGATATTCAAATATTGAACACACACTAAGGCAAAGGCAGCAGGGAGCATCACACGCCAGGCATTACCTGCTAGGCTGCCGGATCATGAGTGACCCCCAGAGGAGCAGAGGGACCACTCAGGGTTTGGAGAGGTATGTACCAAGTGATCACAGAAGTGTGTCTGAATTTTAACAACCAGGAAAGCTGTAACAGTACCTGACCCGGCCGAATCAGAAGCTCTGCACTTACATCACGACCCAACATGCTCACCCGTGCGCACAGACACACGCACACCACAGATGCACACAACTGAAGCTCAAGTTTCAGGAAAGGGGGCTGACCCTGACTACGCACGATACACTCCAATACCTGTATTTTTTAAAATGCCAGTAAGACCCACTAAAGGATTCCATGACCCAATCCCAGGTGACAACTGCAGGTGTCCCGGAGCCTCCAGCTCTCTCACCTTAAATACTGGTCGATGAGGGCCTCGTGGTCCAGCAGCTCTTCGGGCGGGGGCACGCTGGGCATGGAGAACTGGTGCCGCACGGGGCTGGGCTGGGCCTGCTGGAAGGAGGCCTGGAAGATGAAAATGGGCCTGCCGTGCTGCACGGCCTTCACAGAGCGCACCGAGAAGCTCGTCCCCGTCCGCGTCCGCTCCACCTGGTACA